AAATGATACCCGGTCTCCGAAGAGACCTATCCGATGGTCTGGATGCTTCGTCAAAAAGACTTGGCCGTTCGCCGTTGGCGGCTCTACTCCATCATTGTAAAAAAAGTGTCAATAAAAAAATAAACGTGTGCACCCTAGCACGGTCAATAACAGAAGAAAGAATAGAGAAGAGTCAACACCGATCTAACGGCAATTTCAAATCGATAACGGCCAGTCTTTTTGAAAGGAATCAATACTGATAAACAATTCGATTTTAATTATATTTCTCTTTTATCGCCTTATCTAGCGGTCAGCGGCAAAATAATGAGTGGTTGACACCGCTGTGTCAGAAAAAGGTTTTTTCGCGCGATAAAATAAATAAGTAGACATAACAAAAAATCATAAACGGTCCACCTTCGAATTTGTGACGTTACAAGATAATATCCTTTTTTATATAAGCTAGCGAAATATGTATGTAAACTTATGTAACTAAATAAAACCAAACATTTTGTAGTTTTATATTTATTTTGCCAGTAATTGAATGAAATATAATAAACGGATCATCTTATGTTAAGAAAATATATTGAAATATTCTTCAAAACAAGCTTATTGACACAAATAATTTTGAAGCAGTACCAACTATCGAAAAATAAATATATAAGTAAAATTTTGAAGTACACCTGTAACTTGAATAGATTTCATGTTATTCATATATTTATATTATTGATATTTAGCTACTCTTTTTATAAAAAATATAATATTTTTAATTTGTTTTTTAAACATGAAGTATATTTTAATATTATAAATTATTCTTATATAGTTATTTTCCATCAATTTCTTTTATATAAGTTTAAAACTAAATTATTTTAATATATTTAATCAAATTTATTGATATATACGTATATCTTCTTCTTGTTTCTTCATTTTCTTAGCCTTAATCCCAACTACTTAGGTTAGCCACCCTTATCCTAAACTTCCACTTAACAAGATCTTCCACATCATTTACACTTATATATAGTAACTCAAAATAAAAGGAGAAAATTATTAAGAAGATAGTTATTTTAGTAATTAAAAGGATAATTTATTAAAAATTATTTATATTTGTTGGTATTATATGAGCATGAGAATAATTGAGTTACTATAATATTTATTGAATAATGAAAATGATACAATATAATTTTTCTCTCGGGATATGAGTACGAGGGTATATTAGAAGATGTAAAATATAGAAAAAAACAAGTGATGTTTGAAAATTAATTAATATAATAATAATTTGAAATAGAAATTATTGTGATTAATTATCACACATAGATCATCAACAACGCCACTCGTACCAGTAGTTATCTAGGCTTGTGCTGACTGTGAGTCGAGTCAATAAAAACCTCGAGTAGTATAGGAACCACAAGTGGGTTCTCTATCTTCGCAAGAGAGTCTTTATTAGTATTGACTACACAGTTAACCCACTCAAAGATTAGACTAGGCTGGCTAACTTCGTACAAACGTTATTGATTCTCTTTATTTATTTAGACAATATTTTATTCTAGAGATCACTTTACTTTTTCTGGTTTCCTACTTAATTTATGTACTCATTATATTTACTTTGAATATGAATTTACCTTAATGATTTCAGGACTAATGTTGAAAAAATGAATATACTTCAATTTTCTATGTAAAATCGTATTTTGTCAAGCCACTTCTTGCATTCGTTAAAAGTTCATAAGGTGAAGTGGTAGTGAGAGAGATTGACAGTTTTTATGCCCTTTTATATTAAATTTAATTCATCTATCTATGCAAGAAGTGTCACGACCTTTTACTATTATCTGTTTATTACTCAATTTGTGTTATTTATTACATATTATTTTACTTAAAATAGATAATTTGTCACAACTAAAGAATTTCTTATAATTATTACAGTAGATTTATATCAATGTATTTTTAGACATATTTCTTNACAGATTTCGTTTTCTCTCTTCTCATTACATGACCAAACCATCTAAGTCTATTTTCTCTCATCTTATCCACTATTAACGCTACACCTATACTCCCTCTTATATGCTCTTATCTTTTCTAGTTACTCCACTCATCCATTAAAGCATTTACATCTCTGCTACACTCATTATCTACTCTACTTTCTTATCAACTGCCCAACACTTTGAACCATACATCATAGCTGGGTTTGAGTTATTTTATTGTGTATACCTTATTTGTGTTTAAAACTTCTTTTAGTCTATAAAGACATTATTACCATAAATAAATAATATTGAGTAAAAATTGGCATTTCTGGTAAATACTTCATTTATTTTCTTGAGCATTACAGAATACTAAGGTAAGTCAATTTATATTATCCCATTTATTTAGAGTTAATAATCTGAGTAAAGAACAATAAAGCAATAGATCTATAATCTCCTTTTAACATCAAGAATAATTTTGCTAGTTTGTTCACACCTACTACATATACACATTACAGGGTCTCGAGGGTCGGATTACCGCCCCGTGCCTAAAAAGAGTTTAAAAACCTAATGTGTATTTGATTGTATTAATAGACACTTCGACTGGGTATTCGAGGGTCGGATTACCACCCCGTTACCTCAGTGTCCTATTAAAGGTGTTTACAAATTTATTAGCTCATATTCCTCAATAAAGAGGACATACATTTATTTCTTCATATCTACTTGTCTTTATTGTTCTAAACCCTCGAACCATACGACCCCGATAGAATCACAACATCAGGTTCTCACCTTATACAAAAACCCAAGACCCCATCATTCATTTCCATTATTATTATCATCATCATTATTTTTATTTTATTTGAATTATAACAGTTTTATTGAGTAGTTCTATAAATTTTACTTCTATACATGATAAAATATTTGATTGGGAGATATTTTACATTTATTCGATTACAAAATTATTAAATATGTACTTCAATGAACAATATACCTTGATCTATAATTTAAATTCGAATTAAATTAATAGTATCTTCTATAGTCATTTTATTACATACTATGTAATTTATAATAGATAATAAATTATTACATTAACATATAGTATACATTAATATTGTTTTATTTTTATAATCCGTTAAGAAAGTTAATCAAGGATAATATTTTTATAGTAATAAACTAAATTTTCTTAGAATTTTTTTATATTGTTATATAAAAAATCCTTAATAATAATAAATCCTTGCTTCGAATATAGACTCTGCAATGAGTTTGAAACGTCAGTCCAAAACTGAATACATCTGTAAATATTTCAAATAAAGTGCTAATATCTTTTAAAATACTGATTTAGAAGTTGTTTTTAATCAAGCATTTTCTTAGTTAGATTATTTTCTTATTTTTAAATTAGTTATACATTTATCTTTCCATTTAAAAAACTTAAGTTGATACTATTTTAAAGAAGAAAGGAGTGATAGGACTAATTTTTTTTAATTATAAAACATAGCATAAAATAAACTTTTGAAAGGTTATTATATGTTTTATACTTAAAAAGATATTAAGTATAACGCAGTTAATTAAACGCATTGTACAACCCATATATATATATTTTTTTTCTATCATGGGATATATTTTCAGCCTGATTTAAAATTCGAATAATAATTTTTTCTCGTTATAATTTTATTTATTTTTCAAATTTCATAGATTTTTGTTTAATATATGGCTCATTAAAATATCATGGCCGAAAAAATTTGAATCAACAATAAAAAATAACAACAATTATTTAGTGATGTGCCAAACTCAGTACTGACAAATTGTTTATCCAAATTGTTTTTTTGGTGTACGAAATTATTTTTAATTGTTAATTTTATATATTTTAATGAAAATGAATAGTGTTTTTTTAAAGTTATTTAATGGAAGTATTAAACAAATTAGTAAAAGCAGCATAGAACGAAGAGTTTATAAAAATGGCTGGTCAACTGCTAGTAGGGCCTTATATGCTAACGAATGTAAATCACATGGAAGTCGTAACGGTATAGTGTTGGGTATGTACCAAAATGGCAATTCTATTGAATTCTCTACGGAAGCAACAGCATTTAACGATAGATCAGGTGGAATTTTACAAAATCTTGTCGCAAATTCAAGTGTTAAGGTGGGTGATGCAATTTTATTCAACAATTTAGATAAAGAATACCCAAATGTAGCGATAGCAAACGTTGGTGCAAAAGGTGTGTCTATGGATAAAAATGAACTTATGGACATAGGTAAAGAAAATATACGTCGAGCGATTGGAAAAGCTGTTGTTCTACTTCAAAACGAAGGTAGCACAAAAATTTTTACGGATGGAATGACAAGTCCCGAATCAGTCGCCGAAGCTGCAACACTAGCTAGCTGGAAATTTGAAGGAACGAAGTCAACAAAAAATCAAAGTCCACCAGCAACTGTCGAACCATTTAATCAAGATGACCGTAATCTTTTTGATCAAGGTGCAGTTTTCGGTGGGGCACAAAACTTAGCTAGAATGTTCACAGAAATTCCTGCAAATATATTGACACCAAGTGTTTTTGCGGATAACATGACCAAAACGTTATGTCCTTGTGGGATAACAGTCGATATACAAGATAAAGATTGGATAGAAGCGAAAAAACTATATGGTGTTCTAGAAGCTTCTAAAGGTTCATGCGAACAACCTTTATTCGCAGTTTTAGGATATTGTGGTGGTGACAAAACTCAGAAACCATTAGCTTTTGTTGGTCATGCTACCACGCACGATACAGGTGGTATTTGTTTGCGGAAATGCTCTGATCAAGTAAATAAGAAGCAGCATTTAGCTTCAGGTGCTGCTCTTGTAGGTATGATGAAAGGCATAGCTCAACTCAGTCTTCCAATCAATGTTTATGCTTACATTCCTTTATTTGAAAATGCTACTAGTGGTACTGCTATGCACGTGAGTGACGTGTTTACAGCTCTCAATGGAGTCTCTATTAATGTAGATGACACTAAATATGCTAGTCGATTAGCTATGGCAGATACACTTGTTTATGCATCACTCACTAGACCACAAACGCTAATCAATGTTAATACATTAAGTGGAGCTACTCATCGAGTATTTGGAGAATTTGCTACACCATTATTTACAACTAGCAAAACTCTAAGCCAAGAATTTCAGAGAGCTGGTGCTACTACAGGTGATCGTGTTTGGTTATTACCATCCTATGATCGCAAACGAAAAATGGTTACATCGGACCCATTGGCCGATATGTCAGTTGTAGGTGAAGGTGGCAGCACTATCGATGATATTGCAAAGAACGCGGCTTTCGGTAAAGAGTTTGTGGCACTCGATTCTGACATAGAATACGCACATTTGGACATCGGTGGAGTCACTATAAATACTGATACCATCACTTACCCATATCTTAGAGAAGAATTTGCAACCGGCCGATTAACTAGAACACTAATTCAAATGGTATATCAGAGAGTATGTCCCCATAACCCACCACCAACTAGTGAATTTAATAAACAACGTAATTAAATGTAATAATTCTAATCAAAATTATTAAACAATTATCAAAATTAGTCACATATTTTTTTATTAAAATATCATTAGTTCATTATCTACAACATTTAGTCATATTTTCTGAAGAGATATTTTGTAAAATTTATGATTACATAGAAATTTTTTTTAAAAAATTGACAAGTATTTAAAAAAAGTTTTTTTTGAAAAATGATATGAAGAAATTATTTATAATTAATAATTATTATTAATTATGAGTAGAAATTATTCACATGCATGTCAAGTTAAAATTAAATTTTCAATTTCCTTAAATGTGGACAGATTATATGTTCGTATTCATAAATATTACAGTTAAATTATTTCAATAATGTAAAAAGAATACGATTAAAAAAAATCAATTAATTAAAAACACTAGAAGTATAATAATTCACAACCCATCATTAAGCACTGCCTAATTTGGCCAACTGAATAAACTTAAGGCTATTATTTTTGATACATCATAATATGTTGAAACATTTACATTAGATAAATAAAAGTAAAATACTTTAGGAATATGATTTTATTAAAACCTTAAATACAATACTTACACTACTACGAGTAATAAATTTGGATGATTAAAGCGATGAAACAATGACGTTGTATATGGTATCTATTTATTATATCATAATATAATTCAGTATTAATTATAAAAATACTGCTGGACTTTTTCTAGTGGGAAGTAAAATTGGCGAGCTATAAATTTTCTATTTTTTTTTTACTCTTTAGTTTTAAATAATGACAAATAGTAATTATTTAAAAATATCGCAAAAGGAAAATAATTATAGTGAATAATTTAAAGGTGTTTCTCGATCCCTATCGTAAAAGTGGATACATTGTCTCCGATATATCGAAATTATGCTTTTACTGAGTTTCTCACACCTAAACATCTAATTTTCTATGTTAAAACAAGTTTCCATATAGAATAAAAAACTTAAAATGATTAAATATAATGAAAAAAATTTGCAGAATAAAGGGAAAAACAAAAAAAATATATATCTGTCTAAATCAAAATTTAATAACTTTTAAAATATTAAGTGAGTTAGAAATGAAAAACTAACAAATTTTTATAAAAAAAAATTATATTTAAAATCAAAACTACATTAAATTTTTTAGACGTTTAAAAAACTTTAAACCAATTAAAGTTATAATAAATAGATAAATTATTATATAAATATAATAATTGTAAATTCTCATACGGTCACATTTTTCATTATAAATTCAATAATAGTTTTAAAAAGTGTCACAGGCGCTTTCGGAATTCTGTTATAAGCAGTAATATACATAAAACCTTATTTTACTATTCTGTATTATTTTATCTTCGCAACACAATTATTTTAATCATGTAAATTTTTAATAGCTATATTTAATATGATAAAAAGACCTCTGAAGGTAATACATATAAGTGAACAAGTTTTTTAGTAAAACATTTTTTATTAACTTAACTATATAAGTGATTTTTGTAAATAAGAACTTCAAATAACATTTTACTGTAAAAGAACACAGGCCAATAATGTGCACATCAATATCACGACATGTAGACTTAGATAATTAGAAATAAAAATGATCATCTGTCCTAATTCATGATGCCTACAAAATTTGATAAATGTATTATCTTTTTTTAATTTTAAAAATCATAAATGTGAAGTATAAATAAGTAATTCAAAATATTTAAGTTTTGCTAAACCTCTGAGTCAGAAACTTGTTAACTATAAGCTTGATAATTATATATATATAAAGAAAACAACGTTATATATTCATTGTAATTTTAAATTTTAAGTTCATTGTGTGATCGACTGATATGAATGATAAGAGGATGTATACTCTTATCATCATAGCAGTCGACACACATGATATAGTTAATGTATTACAAATTACTTATTTTTCTTTTGCAACTCTTAAATAATTTTAAGTATAAAATCTTAATGAATATTATACTATTAATATTATAATATAAACTTCTATTGTTGTTTTCTTTACATTTCAGGTAATGCTTTTCTTTTATTGTTTAAATAATAAATATGTATAAAAAAATAAAATATAACTTTACATTTCAGTACAGAAACGCAACTTGGGTTTTTATTAAAAAAAAAGAAGGGATTAATCCAACAAGATTATAAACTCCATTATATATATTTATAAATAATATTCTTATATTTACATTAAGTTTATGATTGACTAGTATGACAAAAACTATTAATTTTTCAGTGCTGTATATTTTATTTTACAAAGAAAAGTAACTAGATCATTAGATCATTAGAAATATTATAAAAAAAATTAAATTACAATCAAATTGGCATGTTTATTTTGGTGAAAATGTACTTGTAACAGTTTTTTTTATTTAATTAATTCGAAATTGTTGAAACTTTCTTCAAAACAATTAATACTTGGTCTTAATAAAATCACTTGCTCTTATTATTTCTTCGAAATATTTAATCGTTTAAAATAGTATGCATGAAAATTTCTCTAATATCAATAAATAAGCTCAATCAAGTTTAGTTATCAGTAAACTTTTATGTTCTTCCTAGAGAATTATTTATGCATACAGTTTTTAAAGTTTTAAGTTCATTTTGTGAACCCCGAAGAAAAAGAATTGAATAATATTGTCGTCGGAAACCTAACTTAAAAAAAATAAATAATTCGCTGATTATCCATTTAAAATTGATTGATACTGTATAACAAAATATTAAATTTAACACGAATCTCTAATTTTATTGAATTTTCTAACTTTATATTCTTACAAACTCTTAATTAAATAGGAAACTTCATCATTTATTTACAATAATATGCTTTACGTAATGTTGGTAATAATAAATACAATTTTTATTTCCATCTAAAATAAAATTTTAATTTTAATTCAAGTTCTTTTAAATAAATTCATATAATAAAATAATAATACTATGCTATATTATTCATGTATGTGTTGAATTTATCTATACTATTAATAACTATATCGTTAATAATTCAGCAACTTAAAAAAATATCCAGTAAATAAATTAAATGAGAAATAAATTTTATTATTGTTTTAAGACAATTTACTTACTATTATAATTACAATAATAATATAATACTAGTAATAAAATATTCAAGCGTTTTTGGTCATCATTATTATGTGGGTGGCTTTCATTTAGGTTTATCATAATAATTATGATAAACCGAAAATGAAAGCCATTCACTGAGCTGTAATACTCAAGAAGCTTTCAGTTTGTTGATACTTCTACAAGACTTATCGGAAATTTAGACCCTTTAAAGCAACAAACTCCTTATTTATTATGTTCATAAATGTTTTAGTCTACCAATTTCTAAGGTGGATGTAGTATAATAAGTTTGGCGGATTTTATCCATTTAACACACGTACAATTCATGCTATAACTTCTATACTACCGTTAGCTGTTATTCAAGGTGATAATTAGAAGTTACTAAATTTGGCTTGTTCAGTATGAACTCTCCCATGGCCGTGTGATCTCTTTACGGGAAGGGCGTGGTTAGGGTTTTTTAAATGTTTTTATGCAGACGATTCGACTAACCACTAACAATTTCTCAACCAAGTAATTATTCGTTGCATTAGACGGACAGAATAAATAATAATTAAATGTACAACAATAATTTCTACTTATGATAAGATCTATTCGTGAACCACAAGTGTGTATGTAAACAAATACTGTCAATTTGATTACTTCAATGATATTATCATATACAGTAAAAATTATACATAATTGAATTATTGTACTTACATTAGCTATTCTATTATATAAAGTAGGATTTCACACACCTGGCATGTACTTTTTTTTTTTTTTTTTAACAAAATCCTTTATGAAATTTAAAGAATTTTTCGTTGTTTATTATTGGAATCGAATTAAAACAAACTTTTGCAATTAAAATTATGGAATATCTACAATGATTGATGCATATTATGATAGTTATTTAGTGCTTGAACAATTTTTAGGCTTAAATATTTTTATTTTTCATAGTTAAGTTTTAATTTTGACTCAAACATTTAAAATGAAGGAAATTAAATTTTTAGTTAGGAAATTTATTTATAATACCTCATTTACAAATTAAATGGGAAAAAATAAACACTGAATTAAATTAATAACATTTATTGTATATATATAAGTATTTTATATTTCAAGATGTTCTGTATTTATAGTGAAAAGTTTAAAAATTATATAATTTGTATTACTACTTAATCAACATTAAAAATTTTCGTCAACTTTAAATAGAGAAGTAAATTCTTAATAACTAAAAGCTGTTTATAGGGAAGGTTATATTTAAAGCTGTGAAGGAGTGATTGAATCAATTAACATAAAAACTATTCGATGCCAAATGCTTATATTTAAATTTAAGCTGCATAATAAATGAAAAAGAATACTTAATAATCATGATATCCAGGGCTAATATAAAAAACAAATTTTGTAAATTTTCGACGGTATGTGTTAAATAGATGATAAAAATAAATAAATAGGAATATATTTTGGTGATTACGTTAGGTCACATAAAGTTTATTGAACGCCTTTTAAAAAATAGTAAAATAAAATCTAAGGCGCGTGCCAAGTTAAAAAAATACATTTTGAAAAATGTCTATTAATATTGGCTATTGAAGGTTTATTGCTTATATTAAAAAATGAGAAAAATTTTGGATAGAATAAATCGACAAAGAGATTTCGTTGGAAACCAAACCCTCTCAATAGTAAATCTATTTCAATGAATAAACATACATATGTATTATAGAAGAATTGTCCGTCAATATATTTTTTTATTACACATCTATGATTCATCGCCAGCGAAGTAGACCATCGGACCTTAACATAAATTACTGTAAACATTCAGTATTCAAAGCATCAATCAGACGGGTTAGGACTTTTTTTAAATTATGAGTAAATAATAAATAACTACTAACTTAGGACACTATAATAATATTTGTCTATATTTTTAATAAAACAGTATTGTCCATAGAACTTCGGAATCTTGATAAAGCATCAATAAGAGTGATGTGGTTTTATCCCCTTATTTTGATTTTGTCCTGGACACCGTTAAAGTGAATAAAATGGACAAAATGAACAAAACTTAGTAAATTGTAACACAATGCAAAACTTTACCAAATTAATGTAAGTCATTGTTCTAACAAAACATATTTAATGTTAATATTTAATTGCTTTTATTTTACTTTTACTTTATCATTTCAGTGTATAATCTTAATTATTATTTCTTTAAACTTAAAAGTGATTAGTAATTGATTTTGCATAATTAAATTATGGCATGTTCTAAATAATTATAAAAATTTGATTTTGTCCGTTTATTTTATCCACCTGCATAAAACCCTATCAACTCTGATCAATAGTGCATGACAAAATATAATAAATTCTTAATTTCTAAATATTTTTACATTAGACTCATTGTAATTTTTGAACTATTGATATATAATTAAATGTATATAATGTGTAATTAATATAAATTTCATATTTAGTTTAAAAACGGTAATATTTTATTAAGTAAATGATCATATTGAAATAATTCCGTAATGAAATATACATTTAAATTTTATTGTGGAGACGTTTCATAAGAAGAATATAAGTATTAAAAGTTCAATTTTCATTGAAAGCTATTTTATAAGAAGTATAAAGAGTCACAAAGAAAAATGTTCAGACGCTTTTACTCATTTAATAATATGGAAATGAGATTGGAAAGTTGAAAAACTATTCATCGTTTTCAATGCTAATGGCTTTTCAACTTTTTTTGTACAATATAAAACATTTACTCAGTAATTTTTTTTTATGGTATTGTTTAAGAATATGTTGTGGTATATTCAAATTAACGTTATTATACTTGCTTAAGAACTCAAAATGGCAATGAGTGTGTTTATTTGTAAATTAAAGATTACATTATAGTGGTCTTAATCGGTAGGCGTGAGTTCAGCTGTTTGGCGTGGTTTTTTTAAACCGGTCGACCCATTTCCTGTCGACTTAGTCATACAAAACAGTGGCTTAAGCCGAATATTTTTCTTTTAATCTACTTTTTCAGTTAAGTTTCTATTGGTGTTTTTTAAAACACAATTATGGATTTAATAGTTAAAATGTATTTATTTCTAATAGTAATTAGTGTAATATGATTAGTATTTATCTACAATGTGGAAATAAAAATAATCAAGGTGTAGGCGCACTACACTTGCTGATAGAACAAAATTAATTTCAAATTTGATTTTTAAAAACTAAATACCTATTATGAAATTACTAAATTGATGTCAAATTTCTAACGCCTTCATTTTGTTGAAGGTAAATTATAACGAAAATATTTATCAAATTGTGAATAATTGTGATCAGTATTATACTATTAGATCAAAGTTGTGGCACTAGTTAAAAGACTAAATTATTTTTAATATTTTTCTAGTGGAATATATAAAGGGTGAATTTGATAAACAACATCTAGATGGAAAATTTAAATATAGGAAAAAAACTGGTTTATTTCTATGTTTACAATATTTTAATTTTATTTATTCTGACAACAATTAACAGACAAAATACATGAAATAAATGATTTTTAAATTATTGTTATGAGACAATTAGTAAAACTAAAAGTTCAACTCTTATGAAATAAGACGAATACAACAAATTTTAATACACTTACAAGCTCACAGTGTTTTCAAACAATAAATATAAATTAATAAATAATTTATATAACGCGTGTAAAAATATAAATTAAATAGCAAAAATCTATGATGCATAGATTTGTGCTATTTACAACTGAAATTGAAATATACTTATTTTTATATTATATGACTACTAAAAATCAAGTAGTTAATACCTATTTGTTTTAAAATTGCAAGCTATTTTTTTAATTAATTAGTCTAAGTATCAATAGGAACAATTTTATTTCTTATCTAAGATATTTGATTATTTTAACTAGAATTATTACCTTTTAAGAAACAAGTGTTCACATTTACAACAAATATTCAATTTTGGTAGGATTTTGTTTAGTATGATTTTCACTTGAGAAATCAGTTAGTTTTGAGGTAACTAGATAAAGTTAAGTTATGAGTGATTACAAGTTAATAAGCATAAACAAAAAATATAAAGAAATTGAGTATTAGCGATTTAATGACAACGAAATTTTATAATTATAATTTAATTATGC